ACCCACCGTAGCAGTCAAGCTGCTAAAACAACAAAAATCCAAAACTACCAACTTGCACCTTTCCCCCTCCTTCGGGCGAGGCAGGACAGATGTCTTCACACACAGAGTACGATAACGTGCCTCTGCCACACAATTCAGCAAAAGACACATTTCATGTGAAGACAGGAGAAAATACATACAGCAAGGTATACAAATCTAACTTTTAAGATAAAGGAAAAACATTCTATCCCAATCGGATCATATTTACCAGCGAGAGCAAACAGAGATTCTCAAGCTGCCTTCAGATACTTGACCGAGTAACCACAGAAACATACTCAACGTGGTTTACATTTATTTAAAACCGGAGCAGAAGTATTTCAGCTCCAGTGGAAATGGGTTTGTCTTCCCAGGAAGAATCTGGGCAACACTGGAGCAGATGCATAAACACAGCAGAAAGCAAACACAAAACAAGAGGCAAAGCACAGACCCTACACCACCGCGGATGCACCAAGTAAGCCTAATGGGAAAAGTCAAGATTAAAAAGAATGAGGAAGGCGACTGGGCCAAGTACGTAACAAGTAAAAACAAAGGCAAAGGCAAATAAACAACAGTAAAAGATAAACCGCTTCTCTCCCAGTGCACACCCGCTTGCAGCTCGTTCTCCTCCAGCACCCCGACCCTGCTTTCCCCCACTCCTACATGGACCCCTGTGAGAGGACCTACTGGATGGCAAATGTGGCCATATATATTTTTTTTTTAGCAGAAATGATCAAGACATCCCACAGCAACACAGCACAGCTGGACGGCACGCTCCTGCTCTGCTCCAAAAGCCGGAGTGCCATAAGCCCTCAAAGAGCACCCAAATTCACCCCGAGCGTAGGTGGGCTTTGCAGCAGGGATGGTCTGGAGCTCCCTGGGAGAAGTGGGTGACATCAGGGCATGTAGACAGATGGGGGCTGTTTACATTACTGAGGTTCTCAGTAGCAATCAGCAGTTAAAGCTGTTATTAAATCAACCCTTCAGAACCTGAGCAGCTGTTCATGCAAACAGATAACACCACAGTGATGTTAAATCAAAACCCCAATGAAACAAGAACACGGAGCAACATCTCTCCCCCATGTTCTGCTCAGCAATGCCAGGCATTATCAGAAGACAAATCAACTACCAACAGCTACGTACAGCTACCCAAGTCCGGGGCTGAACAGCTTAACTGAGAGATGTGCATCACAAGTTAAAGGCCTCCGATCTCACTTTGCACGTTAAGGTTTTGTTCTTGAAAAAAACAAAACAAAAAAACAAAAAACAGCTGGCTGTGGCTCAGACAGAGGCATGATGCCATCCTCCTCATTAATCAAAGGCTTTCCCCACGTCCAGATGTTTGCTGACTTCTACTGCTTTCTTTTATTACTGGTTTGGAGACAGAAATTGCTGAAGTTACTCAGATTCAACTGGTTGTTGCAAGGCGCACAGGCTGTTATGTACTTGGTAACTGAACCCTGGCATTACTGAGTTACTGAGGCATCCACCGAAGAGTGGCTGTTTTCTCTGACAGCCCATACTACTTGCACCAATAACCATGAGCGTAAGATCCTATTCTACTTTTAGGACTGTGGGAATTTTCCTGCAAGCCCAGAAACGAGCTTGGTTTTTAACAGCGATCAGCGTTTCAGCATTTCATGCCCGTGGTTTGGAAGAAGGAAAAATGTTGAAAGAACACAGAGTACACCAGAGAAAGACAACGCACACACTGATAAACGTTTCAGTAGGAAAGCAGGACCTTACCAGCCATATCAGTCAATAACTGTGAGCAATAAAAGAGATGCTACAGCATGGGATAGGAAGCCATCTCTCCCCAAAGCTTTCGCGACCTCAGCAGATAAAGTCACCGACCCACACTGGGAAGCGTGGGCTGGAAGGAACCTCTGGAGGTCCTCGAGTCCTGTCCTCACCAGCACGAGATCCCGTCAGCCACAGCTTCACCCACCCGAGCCCTGAACCCCCCAAGGACAGGGGCTCCACAGGCTGCGGGGCTAAGGCTGAGCTCAGGGATCGGGCTCAGCTCCCTGCCCGATGCTCCCACTTCTCTCTCTCTCTCCATTATCTCCACTCTGTATTCTCAGATCCCTTTCTTCCCATAAATCTATATAATTCTCCAGGGGTTGTCTCACATCGGGTTTAGGAATAGCCTTTAGTGCAAAGGAACCATAACTCAAAACACTGCCTGCATTTTTCTAATGCTTTTGTTTTTAAACAAATTAAGCCTGCGAGGTACTGAACATATGCTAGACATCCCCAGCTCTTGCTGGCATGTTTCTGAAAAATAGAAAGTTTGTGCTTTTCTGGAGAGTCAGGTCATTAACCTAACTATTTAAAAATCAGCCTATTATACAAGGAAACTTCTAACTGCCTGAACCACGGGTTATAAATCTCCTGGTTAGAAACCAGATATCCTGACATAATTGCCCTTATAACTTACAAATAGGTTCTCTGTTATCCATAGATTAAGCTTCCTCCAAAGCCACATCACATCTGCTTAGTTTCGCAAATATACAGCACGAGCTTCAATTACTTTACACACCGCACAAAAATAATCCTGAATTTAACTCAGGGCTTCTTGGAATAAGAGTTTAAGACCCCATAATCTTTTTATTTAATGTTTTCTTGCAATCTAATAGATGAAGTATTGGCCAACATGTAAAATTAATGCCACCTTCCACCTCTGCGACTTCCCAACCATTTAACTACGTTGCAGCAGAATTATTAAAGCAAATACGGCAAGCAAAAGTCCCACCACCCAAATAATCTGAAACATTCTGTAGGGA